TCAATAATAGCAAATCTAGATTCAAAACCTAGCTTTCTGACTACTGATTTAACAAAGCTAGAAGTTTTCTTGGTTTCTGACAGAAAAAGAAAATTTGGGTGGTGAGCCTTACATGACTCTCGGATTTGGGAAATCGTAGAGGGCCCACCCAGCCCTCTACAATTCCACACCACAGCTAACATTGAGAACTTGGGCGCCATTCGAGGCTGGCCACCCCCACCTTCTCAGTTTCTGTCTTCTGCCTTTTGTTTTCTTCCTGTTCAGGTTTGTTTTGGTCCACATCTTCTGGAGAAATATTATTGCTTGGCCTTGATCTCTTAAGAGGCTGATGATTAGCTTGTTGAGTTGGTTCCATGTGTTGCCTCTGGAGTCTGCCAATTCTTGAAGAGGATCTTTTCCAAATTTTGGCTCTGGGTTTAACAGTGCCAGAGAGCACAATTTGCCTTGAGTCTTCTACTTCTATTTCTTTGGTAGTGTCTTGCTGAAGAGGGAGAGAAGAGGTGCCTGTAATCATCAGCTGGGAGGATGTGGTGATGATAGGTTGTTGATCCATAAGCTGTGGGGGATTTGGATGGTTTATTTGAGAACAAGAAGCTTCTGAGATTGGTGCTTTGTGACTAGCAGGTGATCCTTGGATTGAGAGCGTTTTGTTACTATCTTCCCTTGGACTGTTGTTATCAGTTGGAGAAGTTGGCCGAGAGGGTGATGATGGGTTTTCAGCATTAAGAGAGCTCTGCGAGCCTGAAGTATTAATTTTTGCCCAGTGGTGGTTTTCCGTTGCTCTCATCCAAGCCCCGTATTGCCCTTCATTAACAGATTTCGCTCGTATATCTTCTATTCTTTTGGAGCATGCTCTGTCCAAGTGTCCAATGAAGCCACAGTAGTGACAGTGGTTCACTAGTTTTTCATATTTAAAACAAACACTCACAGTCTCCTCTGCAAATCTGAGATTGGCACATCGAGACAGAGGTTCGTTTAGATCTACTGAGACAAGGAGGCGCATGATTCTACCTCCATGACTGCCGGCTCCTACTATCACGACATTGTGGACCTGCTTGAACACTCTACCTATTTTTAGCCCCACTTCTGTACTGAGCCAATCAAGTGGAACGTTAAATACCTGAACCCAAAGTTGGAGTTCTTGGAAGGTCGAGTGAGTAGGAGATAGGCCCTTTATCCATTCAGAGAGGATCAGGTACTGGTTCTCGAAAATCCAGTGAATCCCTTTTGTCACTTTATCTTTGTCTTCTTTGCTCTGGAAAATAAACTGATAAAAATTTGGCCCTAATTCTTTTGCCTCCATTGGTTGTGTAAGACGCCATATGTGACTCATGGCCCGTTTGACGCCGATCCAACTTGACCTTCTATCTCCAATAAGTTTTCCAAATAAGCTTCTCTGACATTCATCGGCACTGAGTTTGATGTCGTCGTGGCCAATATCGATAAAAGAATGTTTCTTTTCTAACAAAGAAACTCCTTGAAGCTTCTGCACCAGTTCTTCATCTTGACCCAAACAATTAGGGGAACTCATTACAAAGCCCTTAGAAGGGAAACCGAGAATAGAAAGGAAATCGATAAGATAAACTATGCTTTAATCGTTCACACAAGAGCTGATAATTTCATGAGATCAACAGATTGTGAAAGTCGAGATGTCGGAACCGCTCTCCGCCGAGAGAATGTGGGTCGCTCTCCGCCGAGAGAATTTTGTACTCATAGAGCACTCACTCACAAAACATGCACTTAACCTTAAAATGTGAAACACGCCGATAATGAGTAATATATATATTAATTGCTAGCAACAAATCTAATTAAACACTTTTAAGTTTTCTCTCTATTTTTTGTTATTTTTGCATTAATTAAATATTTATATTTTCAATTTATTTTATTATATAACAATCACTAATCGGAAAGTCGCATTAAATGATATTGTAATTTAACTTTTTTTCAACCTATTTATTTAAAATTATTATTTCTTTTTATTTTTGTTTTAACTCATTAAGCTACTCTTTTTTATAAACATTAGTGCTTGGCCATTTCTACAATTTTCAATTCTCAATTTTCATACCACTTGTATTCAAAACACATCAAAACTTGATGTCAATATCTTCCTCTATCCCTCTACATCTTAATAAAGGGATGTTATGTTGCCTCATTTCTTGACACGTGGCTGCCTTATCTTTCTCCTATGCCTTTATCACCCAAACCAAAATGAATAATAAAATTCTAAAAAAATAATGCACGTGATGCTACATAAAAGATCACACAAAATTGGAACAATCATTACAATTGTAAGGACACTTATGTCCTTATAAATAAATAGACAATATAAATTACTAAAAAGCCACTAAAGTAATAAACCAGTTGTAAAATCACATACTCCCTCCTATTCAAATTAATTGTCGTTCTGACTTTTCTGCTCATTAACTAAATATTTGTCGTTCTGCATATTTTTTTAATATTTTTCCACTTTTACCCCCTCCAACTGATAAAGAGCGTCTCTTCATATCTAATATTCCTCTTTTCCCGTGACATCGATCTCTATTCCCATGGCAGAAGTATATGCCAACGTCTCTATACATTTTTCCAATCCATCTTCCATCTTTTTTAATTCAAATTTTTCTAATCCTTTGATTCTGGTTCTATTGTTCTCCCCCCTTTTCCCTCATTTGATTCATGGATTCGAAAGGTTATGATGCTTCGATATCGGATCCAGAAATTCACTTTGCTACATCTATTCAATCTCACAAACTTCTTGTGGATGAATTCCTTCAACTATTGGAGAAGACAAAGGCAAGTTTAGATGTTGCCCATTCAATCGCTATGCAAATTAGTAATTTGACAGAGTCATCTAAGGTGTATGTGTCTGATCGGACGTTGAAGATGATATTCATCAACTTTCTTGCTACAGGCGATTATCGAAACCTCCGCGGAGGTCTATCGTACTTAAAAGGACTCTGAGAAAAAGAGAAGAGAGGCTCAATCACTTTGCAACTGAAACTAGTTTTTCAAAAGGTAAAAGTGAAATAAAGGTTGAAGAGAAGCCTGTTGTTAGTGAAGCAATTTTGTGTCCCAATGATCAAGTTGTGAACGAGATGCTGAAGATTTTTGTGCCAAATCTATTTACCGAAAAGCTCTCGATCAACGTGGCAGATTCGCTTTGAGCGGATAGTCTTGTTCGTCTATTTTTTTTTTTTTTTTTTTTTNCTTATGCGTGTGTGCAATCAATCAACTGGTTTTTCCTCGTTGGACTTTCATTAGAAACTTTTATCTCTGTGTGTGTGTAATCAACCAATTGGTTATTTATCGTTGGACTTTCACTAGCAGCCAAAGTTGGTTTTTTCTTTTTTTTTTTAACTTTGACGTTATAAACTAAAATCTTTAAAAATTAGAAATGATTGGGTTTTGTTGCGCAATTCTGTCATTTTCCTGTCAAATGAACCACTGTTTTAGTACTTATAACCAAAAGAAGAGAATTTAGTATACAATGTGGAAAATCCTTATTTTCTTTCTGTATTCTTGCTCTATTATCTTTTTACCTTTAATCTTTTTCTATTATGCTTGATTTCTTATAATTTAGTTAGTCTGTGGTTTTTGTTGGTTTCTTTTTGTTTTAAAGGCTCATGTGGATTTAGTGTTCATCTGGGTTAGTTGTTGATTCCAATATGATGACTGTGTGTTAAATTGAGAACATACAAGCAATATGTATTGTGTTTCATCATTGTTTTTTTTTTTTTTTGGTGTTATGATTTAATGTACTTTTGTCTTTAAAGTCTTTAAATAGGTTCAATTGTTGCATTTGCTAGTACTGAGCTCCACTAGGCAAATTGGTGTAGATTCACTCTGTTAATTATGCTATGGTCTTGAAGTGGTTTGTTCCCAAATGAATGTGCACAGTTAAAGTAAAAATGTATTGTTCTGTTAATTATGCAGTACACACTAACAGATAAACAAAAATGTATTGTCCTGGGGTATGTCAAAAGGTTCAGTCGTCAGTTCATATTTCGTTGACTAATTCGTCCTTCGAATTTATGTTCTTGAATTCACATGAGATGTGAGTAAAACTGAAAATTGGAGAAGAATATGGCCATTGGGTTCCTCTTATGTTTCTATTTATTTTTGTTTCTTAATTAGTCAGGAGCTCTTTCATGTATCATGTGTTTAAAGGAAAATCTAATGCTCAGGAAAATTGCTCGAGTGATTGGTCAAGGCTCCAAATAAATGATTAGATGCAAAAAAACTCATCTCTACATTTACTACTGTCACGACTTTAATTATTAGCTTCCTATCTGTCGCGACTTTAACATTGTCATTTTAGTGTACTTTAGCTTGAAACAGTGTGTATTTCTTAATATTCTGCGAGTATTGGTATCTTCTGATGTAGAAATGTTTATGTTAAGAGCAAAGATTAACTGTTGGATATTTATATTACTATAAGTGTAGAGTTCGCTAGAGATTTTCAGTATTTTCTGCTTATTGGACGAATTTGTTTCTATGGTGAGCTAATTAATCTTTTGATGTTGGATTGAATCTGTTTCTGTTTTTTTTTTTCTGTTTTCTTCTCATGTTATATTGTTATTGATGAATTTAGCTGTTAGTGTTATTTTTTCTAGGGTGAGCTAATTTATTTTGTTTGTCTTCTCCTGTTATTAGATTTTAGCTAGTTTCATTCTCATATGCTTTTGTATGAGTAATTTACTTTATTTTTTGTAATGAATATGTTGCTTGTACTAAAATTGTTTGAGCTTGGTTTTCCTTTTTCTTTCTTTGTCTTTAAAAGAGAATTAAGAAATTAGTTAAGAGTTGTGCTCCATATGTAATACTCCAATTACAATTGATACTATCAGTCAATCTTATTCATTTTACACTTGTGCTCATATCTGGATGATTCTAAGCCTACCCTTTTCCCACCGATTTCCTTTTTCCACAGAGAATGAAGAAACGGTAGAGTTAATAAAACTGATTTGGTGATCATTATTTGAACAATCTGCATACATTTCGATATGGTGACTAAATCATGGTTCCGAAATTTATGGACAACTTCCAAGAAATCCGACTCCCAAGCACACAAATCACATATTGCGGTTTTGGCGTTCGAAGCCACTAGCCTTATTACCAAACTCCTCCACCTATGGCAATCTCTCACCGACAAGCAAGTCGCGAGATTAAGCGACGAAATAACAAATTCGGCCGGCATCAAAAAGCTCGTCTCGAAAAACGACGACTACATTGGCCGGTTAATATGCACGGAGATGATGGAGAATTTATCCCACGTGGCACGAGCTGTCTCTAGGCTGTCGGAAAAGTGCAACGACCCTCTCTTGAGGAGCTTCGAGCAGGCCTACAGCGATCTAATAAAAAACGACGCGGACACGTACAAGTGGCAGTTCTCGTGGAAAAAATGGAGCATAAAATCAAGAAAATGGAGCATTTTGTGGCCGCTAACACGAGTTTGTATCAAGAGATGGAAACTCTCGCGGATCTCGAGCAGATGTTGAGGAGAATGAAAGGCAGTGATAATCTGGATAGCATAACGTTGGTCGAGTACGAGAAGAAGGTCGCGTGGAAAAAGTACGAAGTGAAGAATCTAGAAGAGAATTCCCTTTGGAGCCAAACATACGATTACACGATCCTTCTTCTCGCTCGAACCGTATTCACCGTTTTTGGAAGGATCGAGCACGTTTTTGGAATCAATCAAGTGGCCGATTTAGGAGTCAGAGAATCTAAAAACAAAAGCTAAGGCGCAAACATTGTCATTTCAATTTATTGTGCTAAATCTAATCCTTGTTCTCCCAAACCATTTTTAACAGTTAACTACCTTTTTAACATTTCTAACAATATTGCAGTTAGCTACCAAACCATAAAGAGAGAGCTCTCATTATTTTTATTCTCCTGACTTGTTTTTACAGCATGAGTGTTAGAAATTCAGGTTTGGCTTTTTTAATTTAGCCCTTCTAATATTCAGAATAGAGGTTAGATATCGTCATTTAACAACTATCAGAACTATCATTTGGCCAACTAGAAATATTACTCCAAAAGGTAAAGGCATACACTGGATATAGAAATTACTAAAACAATATCACCAACATGAAAAGGCCAAATGCAATTGTTGACGGACGTTTCCGGTCAACGGTTAAAAAGGTAAATAATGAGAAGATAACGAGAAAAAGACGAGAAGATGCGGTTTAATTATGATTTTATTAAAGGATCACGGGGTCAGCCTCTCGTACGAGGTCGGCACTTGTGATATACTTACAGATTCTTACGTGAATTTCTTACAAGTCTAGAGAGAGAAAATGTAGAGAGAGTTTTTACAGTTGGGATTCAACAATCCAAAATTAAATGAAATGGGCTGCTATTTATAGTGGCCTTAAATGTGGCACTGTTCAGGTACTGATCACTGGTCTTGTCGTACAGTGTCCTTGCAGAGCAGTCCGGCGCCTCCCTGACAGAATTCAATGCGATTTGAGGTTTTCCTCATCATTGTCTGACAGGCATTTAATGCTGGCAGGCTTTATGTTTTTGCTAGAGGATGTAGGTGTTGGGGTCTGTGAGGATCTCGTTATGTACAAATCACGAATTCAATAGCAAACGTAAACCTATGCGCAGCGGATCTAAAGGTTTGACGTAGAGAACTTACGACTTAAAATTTATGTAGATCTGGTTGACCACGAACGGTTGACCGTAATTGATTGACCGCAACACGCGTCTTGGGTTGCACGAACAAGATCAGATCAAAACTGGATCAAACGGATGCAAACAGATCAAAATGAAATTTTGCTGCCAGACACCTTACGGCGGCGCGTGAATGCGCGTGCGACGTCGGATTCCGGCGACGTCGGCGGCGATGGAAAGCCCTCGTCGAGACGGTCGTCTGGGTATACTGTACGTCTCAATCGGACTTCCGGTTAGTTCTGTAGGTCAAAATCTATTTCGTCTCGGTTTACCTACTGATCTTCTACTGTATTACTCAATACACCCTTCTTCAACTTGTACCAGTGAAGCAACAAGAAGAAGATAAAGCTCGAATGAGATCTAGAGAGAGAGAGATGGGCGGCGTGTATCACGTGAATATGAGATGATGGGGTCTCTTCTCATGAGCTTAATGATGTATATATAGAGTTACAGTAGGGACCCTAAGGAGATTAGGAAAAGGGCTCCTTAATTAATTAGACTAACTGTGGGCCAAACCCACTCCTCTAATTAATTAAATAATATTAATGGGCCGCCAACATTATATTATTGCACTCCCTTTCCCTAGCCCAAATTACATTTGAGACTCCAATAATAATTACTCGATTTACCTCCCCACGTTTAAGATATAATGTCCATTAATTAATTCGATTACTGACAATCAAGAATTAATTAATTTATTATTATTTCACCGAAGCTAGCGCTCGTTCATCACATTCTTATTATGCCGGAATTTAATCCACCTGCAGGGTTTAGCATAACAATCCTTCATGAACTCACTCCGGGGACATCATCAAACTAACGCACATGGTGACCGTAAATATCCTAACAGCACATCCTATATATAATAATATTACCCAAAACAGTAGGAATATTAATCCAGCGAACTGAACCTCACCCATGTGAATCAAAGTAATATATATTATATATATCTGCCTGTTTAATATCTTACGGGTTAAGAGAACGCAGTAATTAACCGAGGCCTAGTTCATTTACGACGATCAGTATAAAATGAACTTCTCCTCTCTGGGATCCTGTTCAATACATAAATGTACTAGTGCAACTAATCAGTCAAGACAAACTGTACAGTTGACACTACAACCGTTCGGATGGGGTGTTCATGTCCATCTAGGTTGTGAACAACTATTCTTGTTCGCAAGTGACTGATAGAGTGATCTTCGGTTCGCCCGATGACGACCCACCCTATCTAAGTGCAGAACAACAGAACGTAGAACTTGTTTAATCTAACATGATTCTCATTCATAAAGGGTAAATGTGTAATAACATGCAAAGTCAAGCTTTCAGTATATAACACTAACAATCTCCCACTTATACTTAAAGCTTTCGCTTTTACAGTATAGTCCTATCAATCCGTTATTCTAAAAGACCTATGTCGATCCTTCCACGTGTTTGACGAAGACCTTCCCCGGCAAACTCTTCGTGAAAGGATCAGCTAGGTTGTCCTCTGACGCAATCTTGGCAACATCAACGTCTCCTCTACCAACGATATCCCGAATCAGATGGTATTTGCGCTCTATGTGTTTGCTTGCCCTGTGGGCTCGAGGTTCTTTTGAGTTCGCTACTGCTCCACTGTTATCACAGTACACGGTGATACCACGTGGCAAACTCGGTATAACCTCTAAGTCCACTAAAAAGTTCCTGACCCAAACTGCCTCTTTCGCTGCCTCTGAGGCTGCTATGTACTCGGCTTCCATGGTGGAGTCTGCCACGCATTTCTGCTTAGCACTCCTCCATGAAATGGCTCCACTTCCTAAGGTAAACACATAACCTGAGGTTGACTTACTTTCATCCTTATCTGACTGGAAATCGGAATCACTGTAACCCGGAGGTAACAAGCTGCCTGCACGGTAAACTAACATGTACTCCTTAGTCCTTCTCAGGTACTTGAGTATATGCTTCACCGCAGACCAATGTTCCCGTCCTGGATTACTTTGATATCTAGCTACCATGCCAACGGCGTAGCTAATATCTGGCCTAGTGCATAGCATAGCATACATGAGACTTCCTACTGCCGAAGCATAAGGAACTGTCTTCATCTCCTCTATCTCCTTAGACGTCTTAGGAGACATCTCCTTAGATAGAGGTATTCCATGTCTGAAAGGTAACATACCTTTCTTGGAATCCTGCATGCTGAATCTGGCCAAGACAGTATCTATGTATGACGACTGGGATAAGCACAACATTCTCTTCTTACGATCTCTAATGAGCCTAATACCAAGAATGTGTCCTACTTCACCTAAGTCCTTCATATCAAACTGCTTAGACAACCACACCTTTACGTCTGATAACTCCTTCTTATTGTTTCCAATAAGCAGTATGTCATCTACGTAAAGCACAAGAAACACCACCACGCTCCCACTGATTTTCTTGTAAACACAATGCTCATCCGGACATTGAGTGAACCCGTACGACTGGATCACCTCATCAAAACGGATGTTCCAAGATCTCGAAGCTTGCTTCAGTCCACAAATAGACCGATTAAGCTTACACACTAGATGCTCACGACCTTCAGCAATGAATCCCTCTGGTTGCTGCATATAGATGTCTTCTTGCAGGTTCCCATTAAGGAAAGCTGTCTTGACATCCATCTGCCAGACCTCATAGTCCATATGAGCGACTACAGCCAAGAGAATCCAAATGGACTTAAGCATAGCTACTGGCGAAAAGGTTTCATCATAATCAATACCCTCGATCTGGGTATAACCTTTCGCAACAAGCCTAGCTTTAAAGGTTTGCACCTTCCCATTCAATCCTCTCTTTCTCTTATAGATCCACCTACATCCAATGGGTCGTACCCCATCGAGTGGTTCAACAAGATCCCAGACCTGATTGGAGTCCATTGACCCCATTTCAGCTTTCATTGCAACATTCCATGAATCTGCATCTTTATCTTGGAGTGCCTCATCGTAAGTTCTTGGGTCCGATTCTAGGCCTCCTGGAACTGAGTCTGACGACTCTCTAAGACCTATCCATCGGTCGGGTAAATGAAAAACCCTCCCACTGCGACGAGGCACTGTCTGCACTGGTACACTCTCAGTGTGCCGTGTTGCAGTATTATGTGATGTATCTACTTGCGCACTCGGTGGGGAACCATCGATTTCACCCCTTAACTCCCCTAAGACTAGTCTACTCGCGGGCCTATGATTCATAATATAGTCTTCTTCCAAGAATCTAGCGTTCGTCGAAACAATCACCTTCTGATCCTCGGGACTATAAAATAATCCACCTTTCGTTCCCTTGGGATAGCCTACGAAAACTCGTGCTTCCGAACGTTTCTTCAACTTGCCAGGTTCCTACACTAACACGTGTGCAGGACTACCCCAAACTCGAAACTGTGAGAAACTGGGCTTGCGCCCTTTCCACATCTCATAAGGGGTAGTGTCAACTGACTTCGACGGAACCATGTTCAGAATATACGATGCCGTTTCCAATGCCAAACCCCAGAACAAATCTGGTAACCTCGAATAACTCATCATAGACCTAACCATCTCCATAAGAGTCCTATTTCTTCGCTCTGCAACCCC